TTGATGAGCTCCCGTATCCAGTGTTAAATTTTGTCGTTATTCAAAGTAGCTCTAATATTTTCAGTTTTCTTTACAAGAGAAATGGCACCTTCTGAAACCATGAAAGTTGGTGTGGGATCACCGTGTACGAAGCTTAATTCTTGAATTATATCACGTAAAAATATGCAGTTCCGCCCTGTAAAATTCGCTGCAACACATTCATACTCTGCAGTTGATACAGTAATTAGTCGCTGCTTTCTGCTGACCATTTGACGGGAATTTCTGCTAAAGTTATCACTGATCCTGAAACAGATTCACGATATTCTCCTTTTCTATTGTCTGCATCTGAGTATACAGTAAGCGTAAACCGGGGTTCCGTGTGCCTAGTTTTGTTGTACAAAATACCTATACTCATTATCCCCTTCAAGTAACGAAATATGTTTAACACCATTCCAGTGTTTTTCAGAGGGTGCTTCATTAAACCAAGAGAGCATGTTTTAGGCATGTGCAATGTCTGGACGTGTAGCAACTGATGAAAACATAAGTGAACTAATTGCAGCTCTACATTTTGGATCATCATCAAATGACTCATCTTCATTTGATTTGATAAATACTATACCCACGGAGAGTGGTGTGCTTGCCGGGTTACTGTTTTCCATATCGAACCTCTGGAGTATTTTTAATTTATTTTGTTCCTGATAAATTCTTATTGACTTATTTTCGGAATCACGCTCTATATGTATCCATTTAAGTAATTTTGTCTCACTCGAATCTACAGATTCCCATTTATTTTAATTTGGAATTTTGTAACTTGAGGCCGTATTATATCAGGCGAAGCAATAAGAAAATCGTCGAACTAGATTGCAATAATGTCACACCCTTTTTTGTCCCTTCTAAAGTATATGCCATGTTCTTTAAACAATTGTATGTACCCTACCTCTTCAACCAAAAATGATTTTTGTATTTTATTCCATTCTCGGCCAGATTGTTTTAGCCCATATAATGTGTGCTTCAAGTGACAAACACTACCTGTTCCATCGTCACATCCCTTGGGCTGTTTCATATATATATCTTCCGATAAGTTCCCATTGAGGTAAGCACCTTTGATATCTATTTTCCCAAGTCCTAAGTCATGATAAGCCGCAACTGCTAGAACAAGACAAAATGAATCAAATCTAACAACCGGAGAGAATGTATCTAAATAATCATAAACGTTTCCCTGATTGTAAACTTGCGCAACGAGTCGAGCTTTATGTTTGGAAGTTTACCATGTTCGTCAAACCTCTTTGTAGAAACCCATCTGTTACCTATTATATTTTTTTTCTCTCGGTGGTTCCACAATTTCCCAGGTTTTATTTCTTGTTAGTATCTCTAACTCTTTCTGAATTGCCTCTTCCCAATACATATGGTCTTGTCTTTCACGCGCTTCGATTATTGTGTTAGGTAAACTTTTGTCTGTATTTTTAATCATTAGCGCATGTGCATTGTTCGAAAAACGGGGCAAATTATCAAGGAAATAATGACCCCTCAGTCATTGAAGTTGTAGAGCGCGTTGATTCAAGTAACTACCGAAGTGAAACTAAGTACAGAATTTGCAGTCACGTGTATATCAGCAACGTGGCCCACTTGATAGCCCCAATTATTCTAAATTCTAACACGAATCAATATAATGTTATTGTTGTTGTATTTTTAAAGTCCTGAGCTAAAGTAAAAAGCTCTACATCCTACTATTGGTACAGGACCGGTGGAGCCGGTAAGGATCACTGTATACAGGCCCAACTCATTCCAACCGCGTGAACTTCCACATAAATGGTGGTGTTAACAGCAAAACTAAAATCAAAAAGTTAAATCAAAAGCAAAAATCAAATTTAGAAGAAATTCCTGTAGGTCCGGATCCCAAACTTCTCGCCCGTTCTCTTTCCTGTCACGTCTTCCAAGTGACACTTTCTGACCTTCGCTGAGAGCAGAAGATGAGTTCGCAGGCACCCTTTTTCCATCTGGTGTCCTACTGTTAGTGCGTTGAAGCCTCGACGACTTCACTAAGGCTGGCTGTAACCTTACACCTCCTCTTCGGATCCTAGGATCCCAAAACCCGATCCATCCGACATGTAGACGTCGTTCTTCGCGCCGTGAATCACCTGAATGGCTATTTCAGCTGCAGCTCTGATACGAGTAAAATCTGCTTGATTTTTCTGCTCGATCTTGCAAATCATCGCAAGCTACTCTTTTTTCACCGGGCCGAACTTGCTGGGTCTGGCTTTGCAATACCGCGAGTCCGATCGATGAGGTCCCCCACAGTTTCGGCACCATGTTGGGGCTTTGCACTCCGTTCAGAATGCATTTTTGATCCGCAGTTCCAGCAAGCCGGAGCACGGGAGCAACCGCGTGAGTCAAAGAAGCCAAGACATCGATTGCACTGAACTATTTTTCGACGAGGTTGGAAGAGCTTTGCAGCTTCAGAGTCATCTAAGAGGCGAAATCCAGGCCGGAGCGTGGATTCGCGAGAGAAGAGCGCTTACCAGTTCTGGTATGGCGCCCCGAGTTTGCTGGTCCCATGAGGATGAACAAGAAAAGGAACTGATTTGGTCACTCGCGTGACTTCGTCGGCGGCCATCTTTTCCGTAATGAAAACGGAACCTGTGAGTGTATTAATTCTCAGCGGGACGGTGGAAATTTGTAGGGCAACCAGATTTGACGCTGGCTCCAATTTAATTCCTGATTCTCTCCGTTCTACGGAGGAATCAAGGAGCTTTTTCCGAGCGAGTTCATCCTTTGCTGTTAGAGCAAAGCCTGTTTTGACCCGCTGAACCAACGCGATGTTGTTGGCTGCGGTACCGAGTGCCTCTGAGACAGCTGATCTTACGCCAGCTGGTACGAGGAGTCGGTTGGGGTGGTCGTAATCGAGGCGTAGAAACAGTCGCGTATCGACCGCTGTCCTCGTATTGGCACCCTTTGCTTTTGGAGCAGGCGGGCTGCCTTTTTTGTTGATGGCCCAGTGCTGTGGCCTAGGCCTGCTCGGGCTACATTCGCCCAAGTTGTCTTTTGGGCTGGAGCCTGGATTGTCGAAGGGTTAGGTACCCTGATTTCATGAACCCTCGGCGGAGGAGGATTGCTGGGGCGCACAGGGGTAGCTGGTGGAGTGCTCCCTGTGCCTGATTGTATGAACTGGCCAGTGGCCGCTCGAAGGTAGACTTTGATGCCGTCTACAAACTCTTTTTCGTAGCCAATAGAGAGAGACGAGAGTGCTGCTTCAACACTGCTTATTACTGTGGAACAGATTGATAGACGGGCCTTGATTTGCGTCGAGCGACGCTTCTCGGCCTCCGTCACTGATTGCAGCACCGAAGGATATTCCGGTGCTGATGTCAAAGATGTACATTTTGGAGCTGGCACAGTGAATTTTGTTGCAGAAGTTTCTGCTTGTTCTGTCGTCATTTCTCGAACGACTTCCTTTCCTTGAAGTGCTTGCCTCTGGGGCAAGCTCGATGGGAATGTTGATCTTGGGACCAATTTTCACTGACCTGACGGGCTCAGAATTAGTCATCTCTTTATCGGGAAGGTTTGGAGACTTCCCTTCGATGAAGGCCTCACCCGCAAGCATGCTTGATATTTTTTGCGCGAGGTCAGATATTTTTGCGGGAGCCTCAAGCGGATTCTCGTATTGTCCAACATTGAGTTGGGGAGCTTTTTCAGAACAGGTGGCATAATTAAAATGCCAGTGAATCGATTACAATTTATTGAAGGAATGCGACAAGCGCGAGAGGGAGCGAGAGGGGGAAAAGGGGAAGATTCGAATATCAAAAAATTGTGTGTGTTTATTGTGCTAGATGAGTCTATGACTATCTAGCACCTTGTACAGTGCTACTCTCCTCTTTTGTTACTTGAAAGATAATTGATATATTCCCCTTGATGGATAGCCATTCAGCTCAGTGCTTACCCGTGGAATTCAGCCACCTTTTCCACGAAATATTTTACCCAAAAAAATAAAAATGGTAGCAATGATAACTGCGTGCGCGGGAAAAAGTCTCAAAAGACCTGCAGCTCGAGCCAGCCGAGGCCTAGACACCGGGACCACATGAGGTGCGCATATTCATCTGTATCTCCCTTCTTTGTAACTGTCGAGGTTGGCTTGATCCAATCCGGCATCTCCGTATCGGGTGCTGGGTACGCTCCGGAAACTCATCGGATGGCATCTCCTCCATGATCAAGGGCTGGTGATGAGTAGGGCTCCGACCCTACTCATCTGATCTGATCGTGATTAGCTTCATGATAATGGTTATAGGGGAATGTGTTGAGAGATGAAGACGATACAGACTGCGTAAGCGATTGGGAATCCTCCTGGAAGTGAGGATTTTGTTACTCAATCTTGGCTCTGCAGACTCTACAATGAGAGCTCGAGGTTCGTAGAAGACACTACTGACAGGTGTTGAGAATAGTCTCCCGTTGGATACTGTTAATAATATCTTTAATAATAAGTGCGCATTCATGGTACTTCATGTTCCCCCGAGTTGATGCTAACGAATTGCTATTTGGCCTACATACGGATAATGCTTTATCCCAATGTCAGAATCCACAAATCAAGAGAACTAGCCAATGCGATGCAACAACCACCAACTCCAAATAACTCCAGCTACATGAATCATTCCGACACCGGCTCAAAACAAAACATGTTGGCCCGCGGAGTGATGCGTTCGGAATCATGTTGATACATAATGTATTTGTATGGTAATTTTTAACCCCTGAAATGAAGAAATACATAGCTAAATAGTCGTATGGCTTGTTGCGGCCAATATATAAGCATATTGAAGGAGATTCTCCACTTCTATTCTATTTTCACAGACCAACCGCATTCATTCATTTATCATTTTTACCACAAATCAACCGTGGTAACATTTACAGCCCATTGAAGCATCCAGCTTGTAATTACGCCCCAAATTTCACCGAGCGCCCTGATTCCCGAATCCACGATAGTTAATTCAACTTTCATCAATCAGTGTCGAGCCCGAATTTTCAAGATTCTTTCACCTTATTATTCCCCAATTACCTAAACGTCCTTCCCCATCAGTTTCTCCGCTTGGTTCTTGTCCTGATTTATGCCCAAATATATTCCAGAACCGTAGTGTTTCATCGCCTGCGCCCGTTACTATGGCTCTACCATCTGGGCTCATAGCAAGATATAATACACGGTAAGTATGTCCTGTGAGTGATGCAACCTGCTGCATGCTGGGATACTTCCAAACGACAATTTGGTTTTGTGAGTAGCCGTGAGTACTAACAATTTCATTACTATTTTTGCTCCAAGCCAAGTTACAAACTTGAGAGCCTGTATCTATTTCATTGACTGTTGTGCCTTTCAGGGTGTCATGAAATATTATTCGGCGGTCAGCAGTTCCGCCTCCGGAAGCCAAAAGTCCATGCTGATGGGGTGACCATGAAATGGCTTTAACAGCTGCAGTGTGATCGTTAAATTTCCAAAGTGGGGTTTCATTGAGCTTATCCCAGACAATAAGTTTATTGTCATTTCCCCCTGAAGCTAGCTGTCCATCGTTGCAATTCCATCTAATTCCACAAACCTCTTGTTTATGACCAACCAGCTTTCGAAGCCACTGATCGGGTGACCGGACATCACGGTGATAAATGAGTCGATCTCTAGAGCCTGATGTGAGAATATGATCATTCCAAGCAAGCGAACCAACACGAGCTGTGTGTCCAGTCATGGTTCTTAGCCGTCGAACTTTCTCAGCATCCCATATCTGGACAAGCCCTTTACCAGTTCCAACAGAAATGTGTGAGCCACGCTGTATCCAGGATATGCTGGTGACTGTATCGTCGGTGAGTTCACACAGTTTATTTACCTGACCTGACTGAGAATTCCATAAATATACGCATCTTCCTAGACCAACTGCTAGACTATTGCTACTACCCCAGTCGACAAGATTGAGGTAGAAATCATCCGCTAGATCGGGTGCATCGAGAACTTTGTAGGGAACTTTGCTAATTGGCCGTGGTACCTTCCTGGGACTAAGGAGTATTTGTTGGCTTTCAAGCCGGACAGGTGAAAGATTATAAACTTCGGATCTTAAGCTAAGAGTTGTACCATGTCTACTTTGGGGTGTTCTCGATGGGGTTGGATGTCCGGCAATATTTGGATGGTGTCGAGGTGATATGTAAGAGAATAAATTCTTGTGGGGCGTTGATGGGGTAAGTGAGGCTGGTAGCATTAAACTAGAGCCATTATTAGGAGGGGTATGCGATCTCGTAGGGTCGTGTGTAGTTGTTGCACAGGTTGACATATCAGATATATGACTGGGAGAAGAAGATTGGGGAATAGAATTATCGAAAATTTCCGAGCGCAGTAGCTTCGAGAAAGTTCGATTTGCTTCTTCTGCTGTCAAATTATCAGCCGAGTCTATGATTGTTACAAGATTTTACATACTCTTCTGAAAATGTAATTCCCCGTGGGGCGTACGCTTCTTTTGGTTCACAGGAGTAGCCGGTGAGCCTTCATCTTGTAGCAGGCTAAAGCTTGCTTGTAAGTCTTGCCCTTCTCGATTAGGAATAAACCTAAATCATATCATGTTAGCCTGGTGTGTATTGGGCTTCAAATTTTGCAGTTGTGATATGTCCCAATTGACTGCGATAATATTTTCTCTTTTGAAAAAGTAAATTGCATTTTTTTCGTTACAGCTTCTATGCCGTGAAGGGGACAAATTTTGATGTGAAGTAGACAAGAGATGAGCTCACCTATCACCATAAATTCTTTGCCGTTTCCGGCACGGACTCCCTCCTGGAGTAATGTCAAAATGGTTCTTGATATCATCAGGCTCTTTAGATTGAGTTCTACTAAACGAGTTTATATCCTTCACTTCAATAGTAGCTTTACTAATCGGTAGCTCTCGTCTCGAATAATTTTCTTTTTTTTTTTGCTTTGATTCTTGTTTTTCTGCAGGTGATGAGAAAGGCTTTGATACTGGCGCATCAGCTGAAGGTGGATCTCCTTGGGTTGAAGCATTTATCTTATTTTCTGTAATTTTTGCAGAGAGAAAAATATCTACACTTGTGCCCATTCTGTTGGTGAAAAAAGCCAGACGAAAAGTTGCGGGTAGGGCGGTTACACATCAAATTTGAAGAGGCTAGAAGTGAAGGTATATTGATATTTGATAAAATAATCCAGATGGCATATATCAATCGTTACAATTCGATTGCTCGCTAGATTGACCTAGCAAGTTGAAACTTCCGGCAACTTTGCGCTGTTATAAAGGCCAGACGGCTGCTATACCCAATTTGGAGGCGTTTACTTAAGGCATATTGATAGAGGTTAGATTATTTAATCTATAATTTTACTGACGGCGATAAACAGCTGATGCTTTCTTCAATAGCTCATGAGGTTGTCGGAATTTTCAAGCTGCCGTTTACAATTACGCCGGTATCGCATCGTCTAGGAGATGGGGCTTTCTTAGCTGATCAAAAATATTATTAAGCGACTTTAGTGTTTGAACACTATGTATCACATCGGTGCACAGATAACACTGGACGTCTTATTCTTTATAGCATTTAGAATAGATTAAATCTCTTCACGCTCAACAATTCGTAATTTGCCAATCTAATCGCCCACCTGAATTATCAGAGTGACGCTTACCAACCCCACTAGATCCAGGTACGGTAGAAATTTTAAAAAAAGATGGGTTCCTGTTCATACGACGAAGAATGAACCCGGTTTTTGCAGGCATACTAAAACTTGTTTTTTTGAGTAGTCTAGGTTGTGATAAGCAATCTTTTGATTTTTGGGATTTTGTCTGGTTATCGATAAGGCCTTACATGAGATAACGATCTCATTACACTAATTAGAATCTCGACGAGAGAAGTAATAGATAAGTACTATCGTCACTTGAATATGTATGTACGCAGAAGACTATCTTGGTCACGATTTTAAGTGTAATAAAATATGATGTACCATATACGCGATAAATCAGTTTTGTTAGATTAGATTAGATTAGATTTGTATTATAGTCCTAACTGAGTCAATGACTATTGAGGACTCCTAGAATCTATAATAAGATACTAGCTACATGTTTTGAGTTCCAACTGTTTAAATTTACGCTTCGCTCTCATGGACAGTGAGGGACAAGCCCTGTATATGCGTATAATATTTTCAATTTATTTTTCAATTTATTCTCCACCAACTTTTGAATATTCTGGCCCAGCTGACTTAACATTCAATTTATTTTTATTCTTATACTTATTCCTAAATCTCCTCATTTCTCTCTAGATTCCATGCCCTGATTGAGATTCTAGTGCTGTCAAGTCAGTTTTGTTAAGTCGGTAGTACTTAATGGAATTGTGGTTCACTGAAGACGTACCCCGAGCTCGGATTTATAGTCCAGCAACAGAAAAGACACTGACAGTGAATACGATTAAACTGTGTGATAAAGTGTGATCAATCGGTGGGTGCGTGTCTGCTAACTTTAACGGGTGGTTTGTGTAAACGCGAGCCAGTTAACTTAGATACTGCTCGCTAACATATAAACTTGCGGTGACGTAGCTGTAATTTTTCTGTCCGACTTTAGTCCATAATAAAGTAGGATTGGGGGGAGGAAAACTCAAGACCTTTCAGTGATGTCCCCTAGGAACTCCCAAATCTCGCTGTAAAGTTTGCAAAGCCGGAGTTGGGCGTCACCTTTGTCCTCACTTCCATGAGAATTCCAAATTGCTTTCGCGGTCTGTATCGTCTTCATCTCTAAGTACATATCCCTAGCACAATTATCATAAATCTAACCACGACTAGATCAGATGACATAATCGAAGCTCTACTTATCACCTTACTTTGGTCATGGAAGTGAGGCTATCTGATGAGCTTCCAAAGCTTTGCCAGCACTCGATACGGCGCAAGGTAAATTCATATGACGCCAATGACGTATTGTGATTAATATTCGCACCAACATTGTTCCACTTTTATGTGGAATGTGAGTAGAGTTTAGTTTATTTATTTATTTTAGTTTAAAGTCCTAGGCCGTAGCCTTCAATTTATTTAGATTTAGGACCGGTGGAGCCGGTCGAGATTTAACCTTAAGGCTTGCCCTACTCGTTCACACCCATTTTAAAGCTGATAAATCATGCGCTCGTTAAATAAATAATATAGTGAAGAAAAAGAAAAGAAATGAACAAAAGAAATAATCGATGTTTTGAGTCAGAAATCCTCATCCTGAGCTCTCCTCCGCTAGCGTATTTGTCCTTGCATTCAGCCCAGAACTAGGATGCGTCCAGCCTACCGAAGCAGCCTATAACCCATGCAAAATTTTTAAACTTCTCTAACCCTTTATGTCCGCAGTATTTCCTGGTAAAAGCATCTAAGCTCAAGTCTTTTCTAAGTTTACGCGTCAGAAAATTGTATCTCCAACAGCGTGTGAAGTGGGTGGGCGCCTTTTCTAGCCCACAGCTACAAAATAGATTTGCATCTTCGTGCTTGAAGCGACGGTAATACGCCGCAAAATCCCCATGCCCTGTTCTCGCAGCAATGAGTTCGTGTAGTAATCTCTGCGACAACGATTGTTCTGGGGGTTTACGTCGTCGCATTTGCAGGTCCAAGTCTTGGTATCGAGCTGGACAAGCAGTTGACCACCATTTGTCTATCAATTCTTGTCGTTGCTCTTGCATAAGACGTCAAAGGTAAGCAAGACTGATATAGCTGGGTTATTTCTGACTGTCCGGAAGTAATTTTAGTGCGGCCCGAGCTTCTTTGTCTGCCTCCACGTCCCCCTCTATGTTCGAGTGTCCTGGGACCCATCTGATTTCTGCGTTAGATCTTTGCACAGCATCATGAAAGATGCAAATTAAGCGGCAGGTAGAGGACAAATTTCCGGTTTGCAATGCTCTAACTACTGCTTGGTTGTCGAGTAGCACGGTTATCTTTTCCTCCCCTTGTCTCGCAATGATAGCGGCTCGCAGCGCGCCTATTTCCCCGACAATCTCGGCATCAAAAGTTTCGCATCCGTGAAGCGACCCCCGTTCTTTCATGGAGGTAATTCCTCCTCTTTGAAGCACATAGCCCCATGCTGATCGACCGTGACCTTCTGAGGACCCAACTGTATAAGCACAAATCTCAGATGGAGAGACCGTCCTGATCCATTTTTGATGATCCTCCACTCCTTCCAACTTTGATCCAGGATCTCTCCAATACACTGGCCCAGGAAGTGGTTCGGCATCCTCCACTTGAGGTAATTGGCAGTAATCCCGTAGGACGCGGGAAATCTGTGTATCGGGTCGCGAAGATAGCTTTTTCCGCCTCTTGTATTTAATTGTTCCCTCATTCGGGCACATTCTTGCACGAATACGTAGGGGATGACGATCATCGAGGGATTGCAATCTTGCAGAAAGTCTTAGGCGGTTGCATTCTAAGGGGATCCGGGCAGGTGGAATGCCTTCTTCCCTGTGAAGCGCAGCGATGGGTATGGTCTTCCACACCAGAAGTGCTGCTCTTAAGGCTAGAATTAAGGCCCTGTTAATCAGCTTGCATAGATGCGTCGTCTGGGGAGTCACGAGACCCCGTCTTTGGGGTCGTGTCAAACCGGGCCACCACACATCTGCGCCATATGTCGCTATTGAAATCACGCACGCTTCCAATGCAGTCATTAATAGTCCTGAGGCTGCCTCCTGCTTAACTGAGTTTATTCGTCGCAGAAGTTGAGCCACCTTTAGTGCTTTCTCACTCCAAATTTCCACATGATTTTTAAAAGATAGACTCCTAACCATCGAATGTACTCAGCTGGCTCTATGAATGTGTCTTTTATATGAATTCCCACTGAGTTCTCAAGGCGACTTTCCGGGAGCTGAACGACTTCCGATTTCCCAGTTTCAAAGGATATGGCATTTTCCTGCGCCCAATCTACTGATTTGTTCACCTCCTGCTGTGCCAAAGCAGCTGATTCCGCAACTGTTCGGCCGATTCCTAAAATTCTAATATCATCGGTGTAGCAGAAGCATGATCTAGGATTTCCACCGTGCATAGGCTCTGCAATATAGAGTAATAATAGGATCGGCGAAATTAGGGAGCCCTGCGGCACACCGCATATCAGTTTCCTAGGGCTTGTAGTCCCTCCTGAGTAGCGTAATTGCACGCTTCGGTCTTCGAGGAAAGATGTAATCCATCGAAGAACTGAATCAGGCCAGCCTTGAGCTTACATCCGTCATATGAGCCGATTATGTAGGACCGTATCAAAGGTCCCCTGCACATCTAACGTGACAAAGGTTGCCGCCCAGTCCTGTGTCCGGGCCTCTTCTATTTCATGCACTACACATGAGACAAGATCTGTTGCCGACCGTTAACGTAGAGCCCCAAACTATTGTGGGCCTACAACATTTGAGACCACCGCAAGATGGGACATTCTTTTGGCCATGATTCTTTCCAACCCCTTTCCTAAACACGATAGGAGTGCGATAGGCCTTCAACCTTTCACGGATGAAGGGTCCCTGCCTGATTTTGGAAGGAAAACAACTTCTGCTAGCTTGAAGCGGGAAGGATGATGTCCGAAATGCATACACACGTGGAAAAGATGCGTGACATGGGCTTCGACATGGCCCCAGAAAGCTGCAAGGAGTTCTGTGGAGATGCCATCAGCTCCAGGGCAAGAGCCACCTTTGCCTATTGTACAGCCTTGGACTTCAGTCTCGGATATTTCTTCCTTCCATATGATCCATGAATCTCCAGGCTGGTTACAAGGGGTCAGATTATCGGTGACTTGGTGCCGTGAAGGAAGGCGGTCACGCAGGATACCTGCACGCTCAGCCTGATCAGAGTTGAATCGACCTTCATGTAAAAGAGGTGGCGGAATTTTTGCGTGCTTCGGAGAACCCCATTATAGGAGCTTAAAGGTTTCGGGTAAAGATTTAACTCCTTCCACCCGGCTTTTCCAATAGCTTCTTTTCGCAGCTGCTACAACTTTTCTAAAGTGCTTTGCATTATTAGATCGTTCAAATTCTGTGAGTGAGCCTTTATACTTGACATGAGCTGCCTTGCATTCTGGAGTCCACCAGGGTCCTGAACTACCACTCTCTGGGTTAGGTCGTCTAC